ACGAGCTGTATCAGACATCCATGTGTCAACTGATTCCAAGAGTGAATTTGTTGTGATTCTTCTAGTGTGGTAAGCCAGACTGCCCTTCATTTTGCATTCATCCTCGGTCGACTGAGCTCCGTTCGGACCTCGTCTCTCTTTTGACAACATCTCTCTTCGTATAGCACCCTGCGTCTGGACGTCGCTCCAATCTAGATCGAGAACATGTAGGCCGAGAACATCACGGAGATTGCGCGAAAGATACGCCTATAGGCCATCGTCAGTGCAAATAATGCGAGAAACCAGAAACGATCGGCGAGAAATGTAGCACATATCGGAAGTTTTCAGTACAGATCGCAACATAGCTTTTTTGACAAGGAAGGCATGATACTTGGCCCCCCCGATGTGGATTGGTTGCATAACTCAGGGTGATAAATCAAATAAAGGAAGAAATTACGATACGAACTTGACCGGCACCAACATCGACGGCTTGTTTAATGTCATGGAGCCGAGGAATACGAGAACGCAATCTCGAGATATAATCCGTCATGAGCACAATTTCGTGAGCTTTCTTCGGTGACATACCCCGCAGTGGAGTGACAGTTGAAGATTTTTTTCTCTGGCTGGCCGACAAGTCAACAGCCACCTGACCATCCCCATGATCTTTTTCCTCGTCCGTGAAAGAGCTCGTTTTTCGTGTAACTTGAAGGCATCGGGCGATAATTAGGAAATTTTGGAGAAAGTCAGGTATGTCGTCGAATGTTATGCCTAGAGATGTAGAATTCGGGTCCATGTAGTATTGCAGTAAGACAAACCATTGGGGCTCGAGGAATGATCCGCCACTAATTTCGATCTGTTCGGATTCGTATTGATGTTCTCGTTCTCGTTCACCAGCCCAATCCTACCAAGACAACCATTCGTGGGGAAGCGAAGCAGCATGCGAGCGACATATCGCATTCGGGTGGCCGCTCGCTAGCGCAGCAGGAAACGGAGATAGTAAGAAATGTCGAAGCGTGCTAATGGAGCTTCTGTCGACATTTGAATCCTAGTATTCATCATTAGCTTCAGGCTGACGAACGACAGGCGTTACTACCTCAGGCTGGAGTCGATGAGTCGCGCCCGAGACATAAGACTCTGGCAAATCCAGCCGGAAACCCGATGATCATGATCATTGTTTTCTATTTATAGCAAAGGGATCGGACTGAGTCACTTCCTGTGGTACTGCCAACAACAGCCAGTTACCAATGCGCAAAGTTTAATGTTGAGTAAAATTGTCGGAAGTCAGGCCGTTGGTCGCAATCTCGATCACCTTGCACCAGCTTCTGCGGGTTCAAAAATCGACCAAGATAACACTGATGTCCAGCTCTGTAATCTCAGTTTCCTCGGCGATGTTGTAACAGACTAGTCGCTGGCTTTCAGGCATCCACAAGCAACAGTATAATTCGATCATCGAGTCCATCGCAACAGTCCTTATACATCTCTGACTCAGACCCACCGTCGATCAAAACCCAGCTAATTTGAATAGCGGGTGGATGCTCTCATCAGCCTCCAATGCTTCTGCAAGTGATGTTCTTTGCTCCCGATGAAGACCTCGTCCTACATTCCCAGAGTGTATTGTGACACAGATCAGAACTTAGGGGATGTGCAAAATGATGTATAAAGCGCTGTCAGGAATGTAACTGAGAAGACTTCAGGGAAACTGTGAACAGCATGAGGCCTCCGAACTTAACGACAATTTCAAGGCAGCAGACAGTAGTCAATATTCGGCAGCAACTCACTTTGTCTGTTGGAATGGCATGCGCGCCGCGATATACATAACTGATCCAGACGTATCAGTGGTTGAAATCCCGGGAAGAAACAAAGTTTGAGAATTCTCTTTTCTTTCTCAGGGACCGCCGTGCGTTTAAACTTGCTAAAAAGGACGCGAAGAGAACTATGGAGTACAACTTGTTCAGCACAAGTAAATTTCCCTACACTGAGTTTCACTCACGTTTACTAAGAACAACTATGATACCGAGAAACATGAACTTGTTGGAGCCCAGCAAGATGATGAACTGAACACAGACATCAGGGTGTATTGGTTGAAACAAGACCTTGGACTAGCTCTAACCATGAGCAGGGAAGCTATTGCGCTGAGACTACCCCTGCGTTAGTACCGATAAGTGCTATGATAAATACCCTACCTGGTCAACAGGCCTGTACTGATAGTATACTGCATGAGCTTACGGATCAATGTATCAGTCCTAGAGAGATTTCAAATTCGTTCCCCTGTCGCTCCGTTTGAAAGGGACGACGCACCTCGAAAAGCCTGTGCGGCTTCGTGCCAATAAGAAACATAAGAAGCCAGCGATCAATGTGTCTGCCACTACGACAGACACTAAGCCCACATAGATGAAATACTAAAATGAATCATTCGTGATTTATTCGAACTTAGAGCCGAACTAGGATATTCACCGAGGCCTCGGTAAGCTTGAAGAAGTAGTCGGGAGTCAAGAACCTGTAACAAGTCAATCAGGTTTCTTGACAGTTGTCAGGACTGCTGACCCCCAGATGGAGAACCCTGAAGGGGTGATGGAGTCATCAGCTATGATAAAACAGGCTGCAATGATTCGCACCCCATTCACCGCCTCCACACACGAGCGACATGTGAGTCCAAATGAGGAATAAAATGAGTCTGGCGTACCCAAAGCGCCAATAGAACTTAAGATCTATGATACGTGAACCCTGCCGGTCGGACTCGAGTGACAGAACGTGAACACAAACAATTGCAGCAGCCATAGGTCGATTTTTACCACTGACTTTTTCAAGAGTCAATCATAGCACTGTCAATCTATATCCAAGACTCACAAATCCAGATTCTCCAACCAAACAGCCTGTGAAAATGACGAAGTAGAGCTCAGACTTGGACGACAGACCATTCCGACCTGCAGGCGTACCCTCTCACAATCGAATCGCTCAAGCTCTAATTGATATCTTGAGCTATGCTTTGCGAATCATACAGGAATGGCTCACCGAAATCAAGAAATGTGTCTGTAATTATCTTAATCAGAAAGCCTTTCCAATCACGAGCGAACTTACAGATAGACCTCTGAGGAATGCCATTGCGTGAATCAAAATGTGCAGTAGCATATTCTGGACACTCACGATCCAGATCGCAAAGTCAATACAAAGTTGGCATGAGCGGTAATTGCATGGCTATAGAGCCCTTGCACAAGGAAACAAAGATCGATGAGGTCTAGCAACCTGACAGGGAACTTGTTACGAGCACTTCATGATTTGAATATCTGAGCTTTACCATAGGAAAGCAATCTATTAATGACAGCGGGTCAATCACTTCCATGAGCATGTTTGGCATACGGATGAGAAGTCCACCCACAATGCGCTTGACAATGACAGTGTCTGTTTCACACTTTTGATAGTACATCAGAGTTTGTAGACTGTTAATGCTGAAAAAACTAAGAATAGCTCTAGTTATTCAAGAGAGAGAGAGAGAACAGGGACGGCGCACATAGAGGCAAGAATCACACCTGTTCGCAATGAGCACATGCTCATAATCGAAATAACCATGTCGGGGCTCACCTATGAAGTAAGAACCAAACACACCTTCAGAATAAGTTGATTCATCAAAAAGTTGCATTGGAATGGATGATCTGGCGCCTGGAAACGAGAGGACTAGGGCAAGTAGATAATGTTATGTTCCACTTTGCTACACCGCACGTCAACGATTAAATACTCTCATCCCGAAATGCACCTCAAACCACATCCGTCACACAACTGACATCCATTCTTTCGAAAGCTGGGGACATCAGAAGCACGATTCACCGCGATACGTATGGTGGACGTAACCTTGTGTTACTATCATTGTAAGTTGGTTTCTGATGACAACAACTAGTAGCACTGTTTACGAATGGCACAGGAGGACGATGTATTAATCTGTAGATTACTTGCAAGGATATCAGAACATTCTGCAGTATTATAGACATTTGCATACTGATATGACGCAGTATCTAATTTTGCATATATGCGAGGTTTCCTGTCCGCGGCGGCTGACGTCATGGTGACCCTGCTGCGAGGGTTGATGCGGACGTTGCTCACCTCAGCTTCAACGAGTCGCATGGATACTCAATAATTCGATGTGAAACCAGCTATATGAAATGCGGATGTCTGATGTTGCCAAGTTGGTGAATTTCCGTGACTGGACACATTTCCGAGAATGTAAGAATAGAATGGTTAAGGAGGCCGTGAAGTCCAGGAGTGAAGAGAAAATAATTCGACGGGGGTATGCCCCGTAAATCTCCTGATGAGATTCTATTCGCGTTAACTGTGAGGTGACCCCGGAGTAAAGACCGAACTCAGCATTTGCTTCAGTGTCCGTTGAGCAGTCCGCTACAACCCAGTGATACGATTACGGCGATATCAAACTGGACACGTCTGATAGTTCGGTAGGCATTCTAATATCACAGCCACTGTCCAGTACCTGGCTGTATAACGCGAGGGGAGCTATAGGACACAGAGAAGGGCGAGACAAGATGCACAGAGAACTAAGAGAGCGACGAGAGACTCAGAATGACACAGATACGGTCCGATACCGACTAAGTGTACATCCCTGGACGGGGCGTCTCCCCCGCCAAACCGCTAGACTTTCACCAGTATCTTTGCGTGGAGAATGACGGTGACCTACGGGCGCTGACCCGGCTCCTGTGTGGCGACCTCCTCCTTGCGATCGATCAGCCGCGTCGGGTGTCCCCCCCTGTGCCCCGCGAGCGGTGCTCGTATCGCTTTTGTCGTCTGGATGGGTGTGTGGAGGACGAGGCCTATGTGCTCGTCAATTGCGGGGACGAGCGGCTGGTTGGTTTGTGGGATGTGTTCCATCTTGATGTCGTCCGCGCTGTACCGATCCTGCTCCGCCGCCATCGGGTTCTGAAGGCCTGACCTCCTGCGACTAGCTCCTGGCTGTGCTGGAAAGACGAGGTTGACTGGCCTGTCCCGCGCGTTATGCGCACGATGTGTTCCCCCTTGTCAAACAGGTTGACCTGTATAGGCCGTTAAGTATGCCCCTCTTCTGTCTCTGCGTGTGCTTAATCTTGTCGGTGTCGACCGGCGTTTGTGGGCGCTGATACAACTGTTCAAATGCTTGCGAGACTCTGGGTAGTGAGCGTAAGGCCGTATCTGGAGAACTGGGACGGCGATTCGCGTTCGCTTCCCGCGTGGTGCGGGCGTGGGTGGCAGCTGCTATGCCAGTCGGTGTCGGACAGGGATCTCGTCGGTTTCCTTGCTCTCTAAGTGGCGTTCAAGGCGGACTGTGTAGGTAGCGCGCAGGACGTGTAGTGCGGTAGTACTTAGTAGTAACCTTGTAGCATAACGGAACATACGAATCATTATAGGTTTCTGTACCGAGTCGAGCCTCCGAGTCATGTGACCTGCCTGCCCGGCCCAAGCTCGACCACTTTCTGACTGCGTCACCTCCCTGTGCTTCCGCCTTCAAATAGCTAGTCAGTACCGACCTCACGTCGCGCGCGCAATTTTTTCGACAGCTACTCACAGTATACTTTACGCCTCGCTGATCTGGATACCAGAAATCCCATATAGTAGGCTCCTCATTTTGGCAAGGTTCCCCAAGAACCGCTGACTCACATCTCCTTTGCCTAGCATGTCCGCTTCTCATCTAGGCACTCCTCAACGACTTCGGAATGATTCTACCCAATGCACCCTTGCCATGCTGCAGACCTTCGTCGAATATTACCTACTCCGCGCATTATGGTTATGTACACTGTACGCCTGTGCTTAGCTTGCGGGAAAGGTCTGATTGTATCCCATCTCCCTCACTCAACTGAGGGCGCCGAGTTTTACAGCTGGTGACAGGCAGTGAGGATGAGACTGAGAAGGTGCGTCTTCGCGTTGTTTTGATGACTTTCATGCATGCTATCGTTCTGTGCTCGTTCTGCATTGAATAGCTGTGAGGATTGTCTCTGGGAAATCCCGTTTCAAGATTATAGCATACATCGGAATTGGTCTCGTCCCTAGACGTGTCAAAGCCAGACACGTCTGGAGACGAGATCAGTTTGAATGCACAAGCGGTGTGGTCTCGTACCCACAGGGATTTAGAGACTTGGATGCTTATACAAACCCTTATCAGTCCAGAGTCCATCCAATCCTTTCTATTCATTCCGAACATTCTGGCACTCCTACCATGGCCACAGTTGATCCCTTCTATTCTCAATATTGAGAAGGAACAGAATTATTATTCTTAAGGTGATTATCGCATTGCTGCCTGCTCTGTATTGTACAGCATCGGAGATACCCAGGCCTGTCCTCCCTGTTATATATTTTTGTTGCTAAACAGTAACCAGTACTTTTGATTATCTGCTCTTTTGTGTGGTTACAGCATAACGACCGCTTCGGGTATGTGTCACTGGTTTCGGTAACGGGCGTATCTGATGCACTTTCGTTTGATATGCTGATGTAAATGAGCCCTGTTGGTTTGATACATGGATGATTGAATCTTTCCTTCAGTTGCTCGATTTTTCGATACACTGATGCAATGCCATACTTAGTATGCTTCATCACTCCATACTTAAGACAGACCGCTGGGCTGTTGACACCAAACTTTTCGAGCAGTTCCCAGTATTTTTTTAAATCCAGTGTGGTGCGCTTACTTTGATCATTTGCTTAATCAGTGTGTAGGTTGGAGTGCTGCATTTGTAGATTGCAAGTATGAATAGGATGTTTTGAGATGCAAATGTGACATCGATAGATACAGGGGTGCTTCCCCCGTGTTTGGTATAGACAAGAGGATAGCTGCCAAAAATTGCTCATTTCAATTAAGAATATACCACCTGTCCTTGATTGGAATGAGTGATTGAGGGTCTCACTGTGCGAAGGAACGAGCCAATCTCGAACCTATCCAAATGCTCTTGCCGGATCAATGAGCGGACGTATCGCCTAAGTTGCTATAGGTAGTAGCATGACAGTTACAATTATAGCGGCTTGTCTACGTTGCGACAGATCGGTACGCTCGCTGTCTCATAGTTTGATGAAATACATTTCGAATGGAGAGATCCCGGCGTCTGCAACTTGAGGCTAATGCTTCTTATGTAGTACTTTCAAGCACTCTCGCATTCCGTGCCCTGCTTCCCCCACCATAGCTATGCGTTTGAGCTCTATCGAACTGAAGAGCCATCGTTCCTCACGTTTGAACTGTATTTTTCTTCATATCCTGTTATTATTGTTCCATATAAGTTTACTCGTTGTTTGGAGCATACATGCAGAACATGTCATTGTAGTCTCATTGACGGATAGCAACAGGGTATCTGACTATGTCACTGTGAGCGTACAGATATGCATGCTGGTGAGTTTGGAGGCTGGGAACAAAGATATTCATACTGACTAAGACGTATCCATAAGCTTTATACTGCGTTATTATTGCTTCTAACTCAGAGGCTAGCCGTCAAGCGAATCGTCTCTACCTATCAGCCCCTTACCACATCTCACGACGAATGCAACGCGTGGAATGGACTTGGATCTGCGTTCCTCACCCTTTGGAGACAGCTTCGATCAGTCTCCGTGGAACTAGGAACACTAGGAGTGATTATATACCTTGCCTCCTTCACCGTTCTGCATACAACTACGCCGTCCTTGTTTTCAATGCAGCCTTTCAATGACACCAGTCTGACAGTGACCGCAACTGGGAGCATGCCCACGTTTTTGGGAAATGTATCTGACATGTACGTTTGAACACACAACCTATTTCGAACTTAGCTAAAGTCTGTATAGTAGCAACGTACTTGTCAATATCGTCACGTATGCTTGGCCATTGGTTTACGAGCTTTTACCATTCATTGCTGTTGCACGTAGTCAGATGACACCGGGGTTGTTCAACAACACGCTTTATGATGTTTTGTCGAAGAACAACGGGGTCGGAGAGGTTCAAACAAATGCAACCTCCGCCAATGTGACATGTGGGTTTCTACCCAATGCAACTATTCAGGCCCTTGAGCCTGGACTTGTGAACACGACAACACCGTTTGGCGTTGTGGCTAATTACTGGGCTGTGGAAGCTGTATACAACTCGTTTAACATATCACTTGCGTTCCCGCAGATGTGTAAGGAGCATTTCCGACGCACTTTCACCTTTGTCTGATCGGGGCATCCAGTGACTAATACTGTCATACAAATATCTTCGGCCTGGACTTTGGGGGGAAGCGGCATCTCAACAGTTTGTACTTTGTGCGGTTCCTCATTCTCACAGCTCACATTTTTTACTGTAGAACTGTCCGCAAGGGCGCGACATCCTATTTGCTGTCTCAGCCAATGTCACAGACAGCCATGGGGCTTTCAAAGGCTCAGTTGAGCTACCTAATGACTATCCTCGTGAGTAGTATTGATCTTGGAACAAGCGTCAGCTACCATTGCGTATATTTTAGTGATTTCCTACACAACGCCGTTTCATGAAATCAGCCTCATGGGATGCACTCTGTCGTGGTCTCAACAGACAGCGCTCGTCAACGCGCAAACTAATGAGCTAGTCAGCCTAGAGCCCGGTGGCACTAAATTGTCGTCAATATGGAATCCATGGGAACCGACCAAGCCATATGGTGACTGCGTATCGGGGGGGTCTAGTGATCCAATAAATTTTAGTCTCGCAGATCAGCATGTGGATTTGGTAAGCGCGCATTTGTCCAGTGATGATTTGGTTTTAACCGACGCTCGCTTTTCATTATTCAAGTGGGCAGCCATGATGAATGGTGCACCAGAATGGCGTGGTACCGGCGTATTTTATGGGCCAGAATGGCTGGGTCCCGGCGTATATTATGGGCAAGAAGTATTTCCGGCGAATTCCTCCGAGTCTGAACTCCAAGCACCTACCGTTGTAGAGCAGTTTGGTGCTTCTAATGTGACCTCTACTATAATGACCCTAATGACAGGATTTTAGGTATCTCATGCAGACACTCAATCTGACTCCTGGTGAGCCTGTTCAGACTACGCTGACTCTAGACCAATTTGAAAATGGATTGGGTATGTGAACGTGAGTTGCTCATCTGACTTCCAGTCTGACCATAGAAACACTACATATTGCATCAGCGAACCTTACAGCATCATTATACTGGGCAGGTTCGTCGAGCTTGGATTCAAACAGCGACGATTTGCCTTAATATGATGGTCCCACAGAGTCTAGTTTTCTGCCGAACATGCGAAGCTACCAAATCGCCCTACAGGAAATACAATCTGAGAACCAGACTCCGAACATGAATACCTCTAGCGGGAATGTGATCGCTGCTCAATTGGCAGCACGTTTGAATGTGAGCCAATGCCTTTCATATCGATAGCGCGCCCCCGCCCTGACAGACACCGCTCACCAAATAGCTGAACATCTTACCAGTACGTTCATCATTACGACTACATTTTATGGCTTGACTTACTGAATGATACCCAAGCTCTCGATAGGACTTGCGGCATCTTTTGTGTTGCTGGTCCTTTCAATTCCGTTGACCCGTGGCAAAAGAGACAACGACGATATTGTACAATCACTCGGTATCCTCGACCTTGCTTGGCTCGTCTCAAACCAGTATGAGTTGCGAGAGACTGTCGGACGTGTGAAGGACCCAACAGTAGAGAATCTACGAGCTGCAGGCATGACACCCGTTACTCTTGTCAGGAGGAAGATCTACGAGGAAAGTGAATACATGGGGTTGGACTCGGGTTGAAACGACTCGTATACCCTGTAATTAAGGGCTAAATTATCCCATTCTAGAATATCAATATTGACCACAGTATACTGGTTCGCGGTAAATTACGAGCGGATTTCTTTGAATTCAATTCGACACTCTTCTACTACTTAAGGTTCGTGGACTATGGACTATGGTAGTACCACTCATCTAGCCACAGTCCTACCTCGTATTGTGGACAGTGTTTGCATGATCCCGTCCGGTGCATATCTTCTTGCAGAGAGATCCTAAGCATGCTAAATAAAGTCAGGCTCCATGTATTGCTCAGTGGCCAGATGTTGCCCGTGTTCGGGGAATGATTCGAATCCTCGGTGTTTCAGCTCAGCCTCGGTCATTCGGAATTCCCTTGCCCGATCACCATGCCGTCGCGAGCAGTGGACCTGCGAACGTCATATACATAAATCACAAACGACTCCGGCTCTTCACGTCGAACCTACTTCCGCTTTGCCCAACTTGCAATGTCTGAATCTCCTTTCACGCTGGCCGTTCCAGACACAGAGCTCGAATTTCTGCGCAAGAAGCTCGAACTCACTCGCTTCCCTGACGAACTCGATGGAGCTGAATGGAAGTACGGACCACCGCTGGAAGATATGCGGCGGCTTGTGGCGCGGTGGAAGGATGGCTACGACTGGCGCAAAGCTGAGGCGGAAATCAACAAGATTCCCCAATTCACACGGGATATTGAAGTGGATGGCTTTGGAAGTCTGAACATTCACTATGTTCATCAACAGAGTCGGGTGACTGGCGCTGTGCCATTATTATTCATTCACGGATGTAAGTTCTACATACTTCTGGCTCGGAATTAACTGGATATATTGCTCGTTTCAAGGGCCCGGCCATTTCATGGAGGTGTCCAAATTGCTGCCACTCCTGCCAGAGACGTCTCCGGAACATCCTAGCTTCCATGTTGTAGCTCTCAGCTTGCCAGGATTTGGTTTCTCCGAGGCAGCAAAGAAAACTGGGTTTGGCATTTACCAGTATGCTGAAGTAATTCATCTTCTTGCAATGATCAAAACATACGACGAGTGACACTTACCGTTCGTAGGTCGCCAACAAATTGATGGTTGCATTGGGTTATCATGAATATGGTCAGTCTGGCCTTGATTGCTCCCGAAAGTGAGACTGATAATTCGATGATCTCGTTTAGTAATCCAAGCAGGCGACTGGGGTTACGGTGTAAGCCTCTTTCTAAGTTCATGCTGCGCGCCTTGTTCCTGAGTTACCCGTGTCGCAAGATTACCAAAATCATGGCTCACAAATATGGTCATAAGTACGTGAAGGCGTGGCATACTAATTTCCCGACGTGAGTTCGCGGATAAGGATAGTGCGCAAGGGATTTCATTTTTCTGACATTGCGGCAGGACTGGCCCTCCAACTTTCACGTCAGACCCGGGACGTTATTTGGCATCACTTGTGTCACCCTACACTGCTGAGGAGAATGCCAGTCTGGAACGTACGAAATATTTCTGGGAAAAGAGAAGCGGATATTTCAGAATACAGCAACACACTCCGCAAACACTGGGCTACAGCATTGCGGATTCGCCCGCCGGTTTACTTGGGTGGATCTACGAGAAGATCATACTTGCTAGTGATTCGTACCCTTGGGATGACGACGAAAGTGCGCGAGCTCACCTCCAGTATGCCTTGGCTGACACGTTACACCATGTCCTCAGTATTGACGTGGATCTCCATTTACTGGTTCTCTCGTGCTGGCCCTACTGCATCTGTGCGGATTTACTATGAAGCGACCACTGAAATTGATCCTTTCCATGAAAACATTTGGAGCTCCATCCCCCTTGGATTCTCGTTCTTTCCCAAGGAGATTGCCAAGGTACCTAGACTGTAAGTACAGAACGTTCGCGTCACTACTATATACATGACGTGATTCATGAATTTCAGTTGGTCCCGAGGTATTGGGAACGTGGTTTTTGAGGCCGAACACGAGAGCGGCGGGCATTTCGCTGCTCATGAAAAGCCCGCCGAGCTCGTGGGCGACCTCCGAAAAATGTTCGGCAAGGGAGGGCCTGCGTACGGCGTCGTCAAAGGAAAGGACGGCTACGCGTAAGACCCGCTCTGAATGCTCTCTGGCTCTGCGGTGACGCCTCGCGTTTCTTTAGAAGCCTTGTTAAAACAAAGCTCTGATAACCGGCAAGCGGTCTGACTTGCGCCGAGTGGGCTTGTTTATACCTTTTCATACACTTACGAGAATTTTGGGACAACTGTTACACACTACGCTGTATTTGCTACGATGTCAATCCCCATTCCCATTTACTGTGAGGCGCGTTGCTCAAAGTCGGATTCAGCTGGAACAAACTATTCGAGCCTGTTCAAAGTCAGCGGTGTGATGCAAGGATGTCTTTCACCTGCATATGCAAATCACACCGTTCATCGTTATAATTCTCAATCCTCTCAATTAACTAAGACGTGCATGTACGAATACAATATCTGGGTATATACAAGGGTCCATTATTAAGGTCCGGTTACCTCACTCTGACACAAGAAATCCCACAAGCAAACTAGACAGCCCCATCCCAGTACTCTACACAAGGTGGCCCCAAAGGATTACCATCGAGAGCTTCGAAGCGTAGGTTGTCCATGAAATCGAGAGCGCGTTGTCCACCGATTTTGAGAGTGTCCGTGTTCCAGTGTATAATAGCAGGGTCCGTCAAAGGCGAGACCATAGAGCATTGCAATCCATGCAACCGGTATCCACGCTTCGCACGGCCGATAGCGATGCCCACGGCCCACCAAGGCTTTTGGGATGATGCGAATTTACCAACGAACCGCAGCGACTGAAGGCAGGGAAGAGGAACGACTTTCTCGGAGCCAAGGCACGCGCGCCAGAACTTGCGACCTTGTCTTTGGCTAATCCCGATCGTGCAGTTGGTCGCGGCATTCGTGGAAAGAAGAATAAACAGTATCAGCTCCGGCTGTAGTGGCGCCAGGGTGTCAACGTGGATTGTAAGATCACGGACGGCACCTAGACTAAGGACATTGAGAAGACGCATGATGAACATGTCGGCCAAATGTCGACAGTCCTTGTCCTCGGGGTGGAAGTCAAAGCCGATATCAACAGTGACAGACCGCGTTGAATCAGACGATTTGAACGAGAACCGATCGTCTAGCACCCAAATGGACAATGCGGTAGGTTCGCGTGATCGTTGCAGGAAACCTGCCTCTGGAGAGAGCTGGGAAATTGTCTCCCATGCCGTCGTGAATCCCCGGATTCGCGAGATCTGCACGGTAGCGCTTTCCAGTAGTTGGAGACGTTCAAGGACAACAGAAACGATGATGGAATGGCATTCGCGGAGTATCAGGGACCGTAAACAGGGCATCTCGATGCTACGAGAGGTGGACTCCAAAGTTGATCCAGGGTAGCCTGCCCTTTCTAAAATCATCTCCTCCAGCTTCGGACTTTCCTGTAGGAACTCTAGAAAATGATCTAAATCCTGTGATCCGTATCCACACCAATCCCGAACATAGAGGTGTGTCAGATTGGGGAATCGGTTGGAAGGCCATGGAGCGTGACGATTGAGGGAAAGCCGCTGTAAATGCAACGCCTGTGATTGAAACAATACTGATCGAAAGTCGCCACGAGTTGGAACTTCTAGGCATAGACGCTCTAGTGATGGAGCTGGGGAGTCGAGCAAGTCGAGGTGTTCCTGCAACATCGGATTGATGATAGTGTGGAGACATTGAATCCTAGGCATGACGCCAGCAAGACACGACCAGAGACGCGATCCACCATACAGGCTCACGCGTAGCGGCACGACGCCCGTCCTTGCCAGCTTGTGTTCAAGAACCTCGCGAGACGAAGCTTCGTAGACAATGAGATTCGCCCACAGGGTAGGACAGTTGAGAGCGGCGTCCATCCAGAGCCGACATACTGCCAATAGTGTGTATAGTCGGTGATCCAGATAACTGTCTGGAAAATATGGGTCTTCATCGTGTTCGTCTTTTGGAGCAGCGAGGACTGCAGAAAATATGGCGCAGAGCACCTCTGGAGGCAAGCGATTGATCGCACACAATGAATTGTGGACAGTTTGGACGTTTGCAATTGTCTCAAAGAGACCTCCAACGACTTGGTCCAGAAGGGCGATGGCGGCATGTCTGCGAGGGCTAGAAGTACGATGAGTCGATGTTCGACATCTCGTTCGCCACAATTGGGGCCTACCTATCACGGTCCACCGAGCTGGTGCGGAGATTCCGCGTCTCCACGAGTAGCTGTGCCATCAAGACCTCTACCGTACGTGCACTCAGAAGAGACATCGCGAGTGCTGCAATGAGTCAAGCAAGGAGAACGTGGATAGAAAAGGTGAGATGCGGGAGTGGGTCAGAGTAAAATGGGTGGGGGTGTATTGGTAGGAGTGCTTTTATACCAATGTGGCGTATTGTGTCGGAGTAGCATGGCCTTTGTAGCGTTGCCACATACCTGAATCTAGTTCCTTGGGCTGACCTTTGTTCTTCCTCACGATTGTGGCGCTGAGAATGTCTCGACACCGGAAACTTCACCAGCCTGGCTGTGCTACCACCCATTATAGCGGTCCCCAAGCCCAGTCATAGAATGCAAGTATAGGAGATGGTGGTATATGCATTCCATGAAAAGTTTACTGCACGCGTCCACTCTTCGTCGTCTGGAGGGAGTCGGATGCACAAGAATAGCACTAAAAGTTGACTAAAAGTATTGTAAGGCAACAAGAGCGACGACCGCTTGTGGCTGAGCGCTTCAGCGGATCGGCATTCGCCGCAAGGCGGGTCTACGTAGTAAACATTATTGTTGATCATTACGACTTTACTTAGCCACAGGTGCAGAATGAGTAAGAATAGTGCGTATAGTGGTGATCAAATAGATATATTGACGGGAGAGATCATCAAATACAGTACAAAAGCCTGTGCAGGTCATACTCGTTGGTTAAGAGACTTTGACGCTAACACAAATCAAAAGGCTAATAAACAGCAGGACCTCCAGTGTTTCCAGAGCGCGCGAAAGTCCAAAGGTCGAGTGTCCATATAATCCAAGACGCGCTCCTGACGGGCGCCGATCGTCAGTGTGCCTTTCGCCCAATGACTCTGGATGACACAGTTTCTCGCGCGGTCAACTGATTCGCCGGCAAAGGCAGCGAGAGGCAGAGTCGGAAATTTGAGTCTCGCCCGCGTAATCACGGTCACATGCCTCTTCTGCGACTTGCTCCACTGGCGAGGTCGCGTCGTTTCGACTTGTGTTCGAAGTTGCGAAATTGTAAACAGGGGCAGTGGATTGCGCAAGCCTGATCAATGCATCCTAGGCGCCTGACTACTATTCGGTGGAAGTCCAGCGCATCGAAATGCCCCGACTTGCGTACAGGCTGTAAAAACGGGTTCATTCGCTTAGTCACTGGGGTTGCGAGGAGAGACGCCAAATGTCGAACAGCCTGCGACTCAAGACACACAACATACTCCAAGTAAGTTCTGACCAAGCTTCAGACACCCGAGTCTCCCTTTCGTCCTAGTATACTGAGCCCCTACTGCAAGCCCACTATCATCATCTCTATCAGACAGAACGCCATTCACATTTCCGTCCCGGACACGGACATCGAACTCTTGTGCAAGAGGTTCGCACTCGTGCGGCTGCCGGACAAACTTGACAAGGCGGAATAGGACTACTCGCGCCACTAAAGGTCGAGTGTGCTGTGGCGCCGAGGTGCGCTGACGAGCGTGCAGGGCTGGGTTATTTTCTGGAAGTGTGGAAGGTCACGGTGTTGTTGTTGCTGACCGCCGCATCCCCCGACCATCATATTTTCCATGTCGGTGTGTTGAGCTTGCCTGGATTCTGCCTCTTGGAGGCATCGAGGAAGAGGGTTTTTGCGCGGGTGGGGCACAGGCTGACGCTTGCACCTGAGTATGTAGAATAAGGTGAACGTTCATGCCGTTTTCGGCACCCGCCGACAGACTGAGTGTGGACACATATACTCAGGGTGACGGTTGGTGTCGCTTTGTGAGCAACCCTGCATAACAGGGCGTGCCTTATTTTGGCCCGTTACAGCTGCATTCAAATTACTCATCATCACATCTTCGCATTACAGCCCAAACAACCTCAAGGCGCAGCATGCCACTAACTATGTGCGTTATTCGCGTGCTCACATCCTTGCGGCCACTTGTTTTCTGACACTTGCATGATTGCTAGCATCGGAGCGCCCAGTTTCTTCACGGATCCCGTCGAGTTCCTCGGATTTCTCGGCTCTTTCGTCGTCCCCTGGTCTGCAAAAGATCCAGGATGGGGTCGCACATACGATGTGGTTCCAGAAGAAGAGTGATGGATATCTCAAGCAGCAGTCCACGCAGCCGCAGACGCTGGATACAGCCTCGCAGACTCGCCGTTTGGTGTGCTCGCGTAAATGTACCAGAAGTTCGTTGTGTGGACGGACGAGTACCCTGACAGGACGACGAAGGTGTGACATGTATCCGTTATAGCGCAATCTAGTGCGGGCACGACCTATGCTTTAGCAGATAATTTCAATCTGGATTTTGGTCTGCTGGTTCTCCCGTGTGAGTCCTGCGGCGGCGGCCAGGATATACTACGAGATATCTAAGGGGGGGGGCAAGATGAAGGCCGTGTACTGGCCAGAGTGAACTCGGTCCTCATGGGAGTCTCGTTCTTTCTGAAGGAGGTGGACATCGTCCCGAAGCTGTGAGTCTGCCTCTGATAAGTGTATGTATGTCTGGCTTTCATGCTCGCTACAGGTGGATGCGTGGAATTGAAGAAATCACGGTCTTCGAGTGGACCATGTGGCCGGGGGACACTTTGCTGCACACGAGAAACTGACGGAGCTTGTAGCTGACGTGCGGAAGAAATTTTGTAGGGGCAGTGTGTCGTTCCGGAAAGGAGTAGATATGCGTAGACACACGTACTTGACATCATTTTGCGGCTCAGAGTCACGTCCAATTTCGATGCTTGTATGACTGATCCGTGCGCAGAATATCCTCGTCAAATTTGTGATACATACGTCTGATACATGCGCATGATTCTCGCGAGTGACAGCAGTGTAGGCGAAGACTTATCGTCCTTCCGTCGATACGCATTCTCGGTAAACGCGACGGTAGTAGGGGTGGCAACTGATGATGCAGTATAATGTGAGTGTCTCGCCTGCACTTTGCTGTATTGTCTACGAATTTCGCAGTGCGATAAGTGGCAGTCTGTTTCTCGTCGATATGACTACAGAGAAACACGATTCATGAAATCCCACAGTCTATGAACCGAGCCTATATACAAAGTCTACAAAGTACGCCGTCGCACTCAAAAAACATTCCTCACGCTGCGGTTTTGAGATCCCAGCGACAAGATTGATAGATATGAATAGTGCATGAGTTTCCTGTCTTCTAAGGTGTGAAGGTAACCACCGGTGCGGTGCATCATTTTAAGATGGCCTCGTGTACTCCCGCACTGCTCGACTTCCCTAAGATGCTTCCAAGGCGAACCGGGGGAAGGTTGGTTGGTGCGTCGGTGCGCTGAAGTTTTGCCCATTTATGGATTGCCGCACCTGGGATGGGACTTCTACGGCCCAATTAATCCCCCAAGACTTCTTACCTGGACTCTCGGTGGCGTAGATGCTGATTGCGCTGTCAGCCGCTTGCTTCCGAGTTCTGACTTCTGAGCAGGCCTACCGCAAGGGGAGCACGTGAGTGTCTCTCCCCACGGCGAATGTAACATGCTCGTCCTCGAGGCTGTGCCGCTGCAGCAGCTATTGCCCTGGCGTCTGGTCTTCTCATTCTGCTAGATCCTTTCTATGAGATTGCACGCATACAAGGCGGCGAACACCAGCACGCTAGTGGGGTTGCTCGGCACAATGCACGCAGGTATATCACTGGCTATTCATATGCGCGCGGTCGGAACCCAGACTGATCTTTCAGATCTGGAACGCGGGGGATATTGAATCCCTGGAAGGTATGGTGCAGGCACCAGACGGACGACGGGGTTCCTAAGCGGCCCAGATTGAACAAATGTACTAGGTGGCATCGCATAGGGGGCTTCTGTGAATTGGCGGGAGTGCGCTGGGCGAACACCGGTGGCGGTGATGCGATCGCCGCGACAGTGCCGATGCGTGCGTCGTTGCGGAGCATTGGGCGAAGTAGGCCGGGGGCAGGCCTGATTGTGGCAGGGTGCATACCGAACAATTTGAGTGATGAATTAAGACATGATGATACGCGCGAGACGGCGTGCATCCTGTGGCAAATGTGGGACGGCGACTCACATATATCTTCACAAGTCGAGGCTAGTCCGGACAAGCCACCGGGTGGACGTACTGACGTTTGTTCTTGTTCTCCACGACGCCGGGTGTCAAGCAGCATGAGTAGCAAGACAGCCATGCTCCCAACGGTCCGCCGCGCACTCTGCGTGCATCCCAAATGCTGGCGGCGAATAACAAGTCGTATGGAAAGCACTGTTCTACAGGGGGAGGTACGCGGTTATTCGGGTCGTCAAAATAAAGTCACGCACTATGCGAGATTGGTGGACTGACAGATCTAGCAGAGGTAGATCTCAGGGAATCATGCGAGAGAGGCGCGCATCACGATGCTGCTCCACATTCCTCGACGAATTCGTGGTCTGCGGTGACCATCCCACAGTGAAGCATGCCTTCCTGTGCAGGCCCGCGACGTCAGAGAGAGTTGGGCATCGCGAGCAGCCCGGGGTAGCAGAGCGGATGAGGAGGAGATAGAGTGCTCGCTGGTGCGGTCCGTGTCCGGACGAAGCGAGCAAGGGCGCGCGGTCGCTGAGCGCGGCTTTGGAACTGGTCTGACGCACGGAGCAATGCTGTCACCGCCGAGGTCGACGGTCTCAATGTGCGTCTCGAGATATCCCTGTCCGACGCGGAGTGCAACACCAACGGCGACTGGTTGTAGCGCCCGTGAGCTCTCGGCACGTGATCCACAAATTGGCCCTGTGGGGTAGGCGCCCATGAATATTAACCGCACCTTGCGTGTCTATAAATTCACGCCACTCGGACGACCTGCTCTCCTCAAACTTTCACTCGTGTGCCGCGGCTTTCCCTGTGCTCATCGGCGAGGATCATCTCTCTCTTTGAGCTAGGCTGAGCCGAGTTCAGAATTCCATCACCTTCCCGCAGTGACACCACGCCGCATTGTTCCGTCCTTCTGTCGACCACTGCCAGGCGCGCATCACCAACGAGGGAATTCATCATAAAAACCTCTTGCCCATCCTCTGGCTCGTTCACCTACCCTCACCAGCGTCCCCCGTCAGCCGCGAGCATTGTGTTCGCCAGCTTGTGAAAGGCTAAATCATTGCTAGTCAGCCAGGGCCCAGTCAGCCTCGGCCATTCCGTAGGAAACTCCGGAGGTCTGTGCGCAAGGTCATAGCGACACCGAAGACCCGTAGACAACAGACCTGCCACCCGTTCCTTCACTCAGATATAGCTGTAGAGGCCTAAACAACAGAGAGCCACCCTTGTTCCCAGGGATACCTCTCTTTTGTTAGTCTTGTTCTCGGCTCCTCTGTTCACGAGTTTAATTGTGTCAGACCTTGTTTTTCCAGTACGTGCGCATATATGTAGCGTTCAGCCTTTTCTTTCGTTCACCCTATTCTGACGTCTTCCCTCTCTCGTAACAGAGTACAAGTCTACCTGGTATTCGTTTTCCAAGGGTGCGTGCGCATATGGATGTACGTCCTTGGATAGTCCTCTTACGTATCGTATAGGTCTCCAAAACCCAGTCACCGGTTGCGTGCTGAAGCCACTGTCTAGAGCGTTGTGCTACAAACAATTGGATCTTCAGTACGTGTACATATATATAGGCCCTCGAAGCTGAGCTCAAAGGGTTTTGACCAGGGTGTCCGATTTGTTTACTGCCGACCATGAGCACAAACTCTATTCCGTTCCTCTTGCGCACCCACACCTCCGAAAACTTGCACAATAGCCACATGTTAGCCAAGCACCCATCTAAGCATTTGCCGTTTCAAAATGTGCCTTGCGAACCAAGTCGAGAGCCCTCTCTTCCCATTGCGATTCCACGCCGCAAGACTGCTCGGCCACCGCCTCGCTCACCTCTTCGCCGTCCTACCTCTCCGGATCTCGTGTTCAACCTAGAGTTTTCGGTTTCTCCTTGCTCGTTTCAGGGCGCAGGGCACATTCTCGCGGGCATGACTCCCCGGGCAAGGGCTGAAGAATGGATGCCTTCGTTCTTGCACCAACGTGGGCGCGCCAATCTCCTGCTTGCGCATCAGTGTCATCAGCAACAGCGGGTCATGTTCAAAAATGCGAGGCGCGCGCGCAGCCCTGCGGTGCCACAGCACGTCTTGTTCAACGAAAAGTCAGCGTTGACACTGGATGCTCAGGAGCGCGAGGAAATGGCGAACATTGTGGCCGATGTTGATGTCACTGACGAGTCTTCGGCGTCGGCATCGTCTTCGCAGATGTCGTCCGTCGTCTTCACCGCGCCCTCTTATGACATACCTGGCACTGGTCTTGCCCATGGTGACCGATACGAAGACGAGAACGACAATCCTTCGCTGATCTCCGCGTTTCAACAGTCCTTGACGTCGACTTCGGGTTCAGCGTCGGAGCCACGGTCTGCTCTGACTGCAATCATGGCCTCCCAGCCTATCTGCGCGCCGGTCGCCGTCCAACAGCCGTCGCCCGTCTCTCCACCCTGCCCTCGACCATATCCGTTCCCTCGACGTCGCATGTTGCCCATGTCGACCATCTTTCCAGCTGGTGCTGGCCACCGCAAAGACCGGGCGCGCGCGAACGCGCAGCTCCTGCGCACGCCTGCAGCACCGGTCGTCTCTCTAGACGTCGCGCAGGTCCGGTGCGTGGGACCGCGTGCGTACTCGCGCGGGCGGGCATCGCCCTACCCCGGCCTGGGCCTGCGCACTCGGCGCAGCTCGAGCACGGGGTCGCGCCCGACAGTGTTGAGTACCGGGCGCACGCTCGCGACGTGCGGCCCGGGGTCATCTCTCGTGCTGAGTAATGAAGATATCGAGCATACGCTGGAAAAGGTCGACATGGAGGGCCTCGAGCAGGAGAAAGTGGCAGTCGAGGACAGGCTAGAGCAGAAGGAGAGAGAAGTAGAGCGAGGGAGGACGCGGGGCCGGTCCAGAGGCCGCGGTATGGGTATTGGTATTGGGGCTGCCGTAAGACCAGCCCAAGGACATATGTGAGGTGTCCAAGTGAGTGTATACTATGCTGTATCTGGTCTGGTTCTGGTGTATACTGACGGGTGACTAGAAAATCATCTAGGGCGCGATTGGGAGAGTCGGAAGCGGCGGCCACTCTAACGTGTACTGTCTCCGACTAGACCCCTCTCGGAAGACTACACTCCTGTGACTGCGCTGGTCCGTTCGTTCTTAGATCTTTCCGCATTCGCAAGTTCTATGCCGACGGAAACATCATGCATGTTTATATTCCCTATGTTTCATTCCTCTATGGCTCGGTTTCATCCATGTTCACGTCTCCATCCTCACTGCAAGCACGGACCTCACGCATTTTCCGTACATATTACATACATCCACCCACCATCGACAATTATACATATCCGCATCGCATTCGCATTGGCATCGTCTCGTTCGCACTGGGATTCTTCGCATTCGCAATCTTTCTCGCCTGGCATCACCATCATAGATTTCCAGCCCTATCCTACTACCAAAATTCTAGTACTAGAAGATTCCCTGTCATATGAAGCCTCTTCATTTCCCGTATCGATTACGAGTTCAGGCATCTTATCATTCGTAATCTCCCACCTCAGCAACTCCCTTCACATTTCTCTCATGATGCATGCATCTTTGACCATATTCTTGTTCACCGCCCCTATCGTCTTCTGTTCGTTCACTATTCTTCTTTCTACTCCGACATAGGCTCGAACTAATTCCATCACCCATCTCGCATATAGATTCGTGGTCCGCATCGCATAAAATCATTCGCATGTCATTTGTCTGTTCCGTTGCTGTCCATTTCCACGTTCGTCGCGCACTTCGTTATGTGTACACAGATTCCGTCCGTCGTCGTATTTCGAGTAACCCAAAAATTATAGTAGTGATTTTGTCTGCTAATCCTTCGCTCTCGTATGCGCGTACGACCTTGGTCACGGTGCCTTTCCTTCAATCCCTCCACTCCTAGATCTGGGGTCTTCGGGCCCCTTTTCACTGATTGTTGTGTTGTTCTCGTCTGATCGTCACTCTACTTCGTAGCTACAAAATCAGTATGTAGTCGCTTCGTGTTTGACAACAAGCATGTGATAGCATAGCCTTGATGTATGCAGTGTGAGTTCCAGCCTTGGAAGATGGCACTAAGTAATGGATGAGAGGGGGCCCGGGAGGGTGGCCACGGCGCTGGGGCAACCTAAGCTACCCCTGTACAGGATATATCTCGCAGATGGAAGGAAGATGGATGGGCCGTCGAATCTGCTAAAGCGCCACAAATTCCACAGCATCACGAGAAGAACACAGTCCTTTAAGTATACCTCGGAAAGGGTGTAATTTCAAGCCGCATCCAGAAAGGCTTGCCGGTCACATGAAGGCCCAGGTTGAACGGGTGCAGAGCAGCGCGGCTTGGCAGCTGGCCGAGGGACTCGGCGAGGAAAAACATCTTGCGCCGCCTTCCAAAGTTCCATACCAGTCGGGCGTGATCGGTCGGGCGGGGTGCCCCGCCTGGTGGCGAACCCGTCAGAAACTAAGCATATTGCCTTCAGCGTGGGATACCAGGGCGAGTGGTTTGTTGAACAATGTGGGGCCTAGAAAATGTGGGCGGCGTAGCAGTGGGAGCGGTGTCCATGCCGTTGATGCCTCTGGTTCATACGCGTGGACCAGTTGCAGCATGCGCATCATGGGTCGTACTGTGGAGAATGTTCCAATCCACAAGGCCAACCACACATGTGGGCTGTTTATGCAGGGAGAGGACCGCCTGCCATGCGGACGCACCAGTGCATCTGAGATGGGACAGAATCCATCTACGCTTGAATTGGCTCCACGGCTTCCCTGTGCGAAGTTGCCGGCAATGTATTAATCCTTCGCAAATGATGATATCGGTCAGCGTCTCGTGCGGCACGAAATGGTGAAGGATTTGACCAAATCTGTTCACTCCTTTCAGCTCAGACGATTTATTCATAATTTGTGGTCGCACCGGAACTGACATGAACAGAGCAATCTCACTTGGAAGCACCGGCTTTCGCTTCATCATGAGCCCTTGTTCCAGCGTGCGGTAATTTGTCACTATTGGAGATATGAGATAAAACTTGGAGTTATCTCGGTCGCCAATATGGCCTAAATAGACACATTGTCAGTCTCTGTGCTGGCCCATAATTTTCGACAGCTGGCGCCTGTCTGTCAGGGGTGGTACCGGTCCAGGGTCGCACTGGGCGGCGAAACAACACTCGATGACGAGCGCGCAAGTAGAGAAAATTTCTGCCACGCCCGCAGGCTCGTTACCGACGCCTATGCTGGCAACAGCAGCGCACACAAAATACTTTGTGTTTCGCACTACTCGTGTCAGCAACAGGCTTGAGCGACTAAAAATTGCGTACTTACTGGGAGGCCGACGGCGCGAACCGGTGCTTGAATTTCATCTTCGTTGTAACACGTATAATACATTGATTCAACATTGACTGGTCCCGTCGACCGGCTAGGTTATCAGCGATGTGGCCTTGTTGAAATATATCGGCTAGTTTATGCCCTAAAACAGCGGACAAAGATGGAATTCAGCGAGAGAAAACTTACCCCATTATGATCATATGCCGATACAATTAGGCATAGTGCTGCGCTTGTTCTACAAATATGGTCCAATTATGAGGCATGTCTTTTTCTCTCTGAGGCTGTGTGAGTTAAGATAAACCAAATGAACACAGATTTTATGGTTGATGAACAAGGGAAATTCGAGACAAGATTCCTCGGCCAGTGGTCGATTATGCGGTAGAGCTGGAATGGCACCTAGGCAGAGACTTCGAGGGCGGCCGTGGGGACAACGTTGACAAGAACGGAGAGTTTTTGAAATCAGCCCGCTTCCCTTCGAGGAGCAGAAAACAAGTTTTCCTTCAATAAGATGCTACACCGTATGGAAAACGCCCTCGATGAGGCCCTATATCGGCAATGGACGATGGTTTGTCGTTTATGGACTGGAATGCAAAAAGGTCAGGAGGTTGGCACACATCATATCAATCAAACCCACCTGCGCGTCAAGGTGGGCTATCGAGCGCCGAGGGGGCACGTTCACGATTTTATGTAAGTTAATACAGTTTCTGGATGCTAGCGAAAACAACATCGCCTCTCACGAGTCACGGCTGAATACTACACACGAACCTGGATTACATTGTTCGGATAGTGATTGTATTGTAAAGCAGGCTTAACGTGGTTCCAAGTTATGATGCCTCTGTTCCTGTGTTCGCTTCCTCTAATCAGCTGCATCTTTCATAACATCTGTGCCTATCATCTGCCGCTTTTCATAGTCCCTCGTGTCGAGGGACGCACAAAATCGGTATTCACGAGACAAGCCGGGTTGACCTACCGCCGACTGGTCCGTGTGTAAGTAATTCTCTTCGGAAACCTTTGTCATAGAACTACTCTGCGCATATTTCTGGTCATCACGCATGTTCGTCTTTAGGAATAGCCGACAGGGGCATGGTGTCAAGGCATTCCCAAACTTGGCAGCGCGGACCTTTTCCCCCTCAGTCCGGTAGATCACCTTTACGAAGTCTTCGATGATGCAGATGAAACGGTGGAGTGAGTTACTATTGGACTGTTCGAGTTGATACTTCACATGTACTGCTGGCAATTGTTCGATCCGGAGAAATCCAACTTTGCGGCGTATACATTCCACGGTATCAGAATCTGGAATCAGTGAGCATTAGTCAATATCTGCTCTAGAGCTGATGGGCTTGCTCACCTGACTTAGTAACGCTTCAGGAATCCCTTTCTCAGGGTGCGTTGTTCGCAGTACCTAAGTCCTACTGCTGTGCGAGCCTACTGTCTCACAGTAAGATACCGCCGGGAAACACATTGTCAGCAACTGCTATAGGTTGCGTGAACGAGACTGCTAGAGTGTCGATCACCCACCAGATCCGCCGACAGACTACAGGAAGATTGCATCTGGAATGTCAGGACCCTGAAACCTGCTGCTACGATTTCTACCGGTGCGTTGTGAATGCAGCAAGACTGGAGGACTCCATCGCGCGATCCAGGTCCATGATGGGACGGGACGTTATGATAACCCCGCCGGCCGCCTAGGGATGAGTTACCGGTAGGTGGATCGGCTATAATTCCTCATGAGGAATGGATTAAAACATGGAGGCGCAGAATCAATGACTACTTGAATCACAATCTGCAGTGGGCGTCCTCGCGGGTTGATCGAGCTTTCGACAGCTGCCGCTGGAGACATTTACTCCCAAAATCAGAGATTGCTCCGCGTAAGGCGTTTAGCACTTCGCACGATGGGCTGTGTTCAACTTCATTGACATCGGGCGTTTGTCTAGGCAGCTGCCACGGACCTTTGGCACCAGTCATCTTGAATACGGCTGCATTGCCATTGAAAAATTCCGGCCGAAGTTATGGAAATTCGGCCTACGAGCGTACGCAAGTACGACGCTGCGAACCCAACTGAGGAATCCGTCCACAGAGGAAAGTATGTCAAGCCCCGCGATTGTCGCGGTGGGACACCTGTCAAGGAAAGCTCCGTGCCCCGAGCAAGTCATGTTACCAGGATCAGCGCATATTCCTATGCGCTGCGTTGTGCTTCGTCCCCAGGCCTTAGACTCGTATAGGCCCACTGAAGCACATTGCTGTGAGAGTTATACGGCAACATCGGACAGAGGGGCATCCTATCTCAAGTGAATACTATGGCCAAGTTGGCTATGGTGTTGTGTGCGCACCTGAAATGTTTGTTGTCCTCATCAATACACATTATGGTTGCTAAAACATAAGGAGTAAGCGATCAACATGGGAAATCTGGGACCTTGACGCGCGCCGGTGGCTGAAGCAATGTCACACTGCCAGCATCCACGTAGTCATGATTCGCGTATCCATACCAATTCATGCGTGCTTTATCGTCCACGGTCGATAGCCGTCAATATGGGCGGCGCATGATGTTGCTAAGCCACAGAGTCAACTACTAGTAGGCGGCTGGCTGGTGGCTGACGCGACTGAGAGATTTTGTCCTATTTGTTCCAAGCAAATAGTAAATATGGACCCACAGTTGGATCAACAACCCGCGGTCACGTGCCCTCGACGCGACCGTCGAGAACGCCGTATTGAGCGGGACGTCCGACACATCATTCCCGCTACAGTTCTCTATTGCGCCTGGACAACTCGAGCTTTCACATGAAGGGATGGACGCTGGTGCTCTAGCATTGAAGCCTGCATGGCAGACCGAAGACCTAGAGGACGAGTGGATCGATCAGGAGGAAGACGACAGTCAGGCCGAGGTCTCCTTCCATGCACCCACCACTTCTGATATTTCATTTACACAACCGTACGGCTCGGTCCTGGTGCGTAATAGCGACTTTGAGTCGGGAACACCACATCGAAGCTCAGAAGCGGGCGGAACTTTTCTGGTCAGGGACGATGTATCGCCCGCGTCGTTGCTGCCCAAGACACCCGGCCGTAACAAGCCTGTCTTTGGAAAGAGTTTCTTCAGCCCGCTTGCACTGGAAAAAATGTTCGAACCTCCCTCTCCGCCGCATGCCAGCTCTACTGCTATTCCAACCGTACAAACTTCTGCGCCACCTGTTCGTTCGCGTCTCTCACAGGTCTACGTGCCCAGTGAGGACGACACGGAGCTGGTCGGTGGTTACGCGGAGAGTGTGGGGTTTGAAGACAGGTCGCAGGATGACCTCAGTTTATCTGACGGAGGTGGGCCTGCCATAAATTGTCAGTTCACATTCGAGGTTCCTCGTCCAAGTCCATTTGACCCGATGGGATCAATTCCGAACGCACAGAGCACACCTGGTCCCCCTCGTGTAAGCTCCATTCCTCTCCATCCGCCCACAGATCCACGCCTGCGGCTCTTTCAATTTCAATACGACACGTTCACTCGCGAACACTTGTCCGCCATGGTTGATTCCATTGCTGTGAACACTCCTGGCTCCGGGGGTAGCGGTTCTGCTCCCCCGACTGAAGAGCCATCTCCCACAGGATTATCACCTGTGCGCGAGTCAAGCACCTCGCGGCTGCGCAGTGCTAAACGCATTAAGCTTAGCCCCGCCAGCGATTTCGCTGAGCGAGATGGTGGCGCTATTGTCATACGGCCAAATACTCTGCGGAAGGACTACGTCGGGGAATCGAGGTCACTTATGGAGAAGATCAGACAAGCGCGAGATTTTTCCACCATCTCGACCACCGCGAGCGCGCAATCTCCAGCGCCGGCGGAGAAATTGTCCTCACCGCAGGATCAACTGAATGTCCCCGCCGTCCGTACGTGACACCCCGTTGTCTCTGTCAGATGCTTTTTATCATTAGATTTACAGGTCGGCCGTCATTATTGGGCGCAGGCTCTCAACCAGCAACTAGGGCGTCATCGTCTAGTTGGACAGTAGCCTCATCACAGCGAGGCATATACTCCTCTCTTGGTTATCGTCAACAAGCCGCGAATTTGATGGCTCAGATCCGGAATGACATGAAAGGTTCAAAGCGACTGTTCTCGGGAGATACGGAGATGTCACATGTGACGCATGGGGAGAAGAATCATTCTGTTATGGATGAAGATGAAGAGCGCACCGCATCGTTCTCGATGCATGGGGCTGCTAGCGGAGAAATGGCGCCGATGAGCGTTCGCTCGCAGGCGCGATCTTCAAGCAGGCAGTATGGTACCGTCAGAGACAGACCAAAGTCGAGCCCTCGCCGATCACAGCGCATGCCCAGCGCCCCCCACGTAACAGAGCGAGAATTGACAGAGGATCTGTCTCAGCTGTCCATGAGCTCTGAGCGTCTTTTGGAGCAGTTTCCTGAGCCCCCTGTCGTGGTTGGGATCACAACAACAGCTGCCTCATTCGCCGCCGACACTGATCAAGCGCCTGAACTCAATCCCACCCTCCTTGTTCCTGCACCGGGAAATGGCCCTGCTTATCCATCCTCGTCCTTGCGGTCCGGCAGAAACGAGGACCTTACTCGGTTTGTTTCATCTAGTACTGCCTCCGGCACTACTCTCACCACGGGAAGTACGGCTTCATTCGTTAAGCATCCGGGGCCAAAGCAGATCACGCGCATAACTCCAGAAGATGTGCCTACTCTACCTGACAGGGTGGGGAAGATGGTGTTTGATAAGGTCATGATGAGGTGGGTTAAGGCCACGGCTCTGGCCACAGAGGTCCTCCACGAGGAGGACGAGAGGGAACCCCCCGTGGCGGTGGACGGAAATGACAGCGAAGATCCCTTCCGCGACATTGAGAGCCTGCGCGAGGACGACTCTCGTAACATTCCCATCGTGACTATCGAGCGGGCGAACGACGACGATGATGATGACGGACTGTCTATGGACGCCGAGAAAAGGAAGATAGAAGACATAGGGGACTCCGAGGTGGAGGATGAGGAGGAAGCGGAGCTTACTTCTTTCTCTTTCGACGGCCCATCGGCGGAGCTTGTTGAACTCGTTTCCCCAGAGGGCCAGGCTGAGCTAGATGATACAGATTCTGAAGAAGACGAGGAGGATACCGAGACAACGGGATTGTCCGTAGACACGGCCCTCGCGTCGGACGACTCTGAGGACAGTTACGAAATTGTAGCCCCCACTGCGAGCCCACCTGAGTTCGAGCCTGCCCTACAAGACTCTCCCCTTGTGTTTGCACCCCCATACGGGCCGACCTCCCTGAGTACCCCCAATCCACCGCCGCGGGCGTCGTTCAGCGCGACGCCGACCCCTGCGGTCCGTTCCGCCCTGAAGAGCACGAGCATCACCCCCGTGTCTGCACTGAAGGACCCGAGCAAAACAAGAAACTATACCCCAGCCAACAAGCTAGGCCATCGTCGCTCGGTGAGCTTCTCCGACGGTAGACGAGATGGGCCGATATTGGGTATTGGCAGGAACGCTCCCACTCCGGATGGCACCGAAACGGAAGGCGACAGACTCCTGGTTGGAGGGCCTAGCAAGGCATCCAGTGCCCTGGTACCTTCGGCACGTTCCAAACGGATCATAGACATGCTGGATAACCTCGGCGATGCCGGTGAGTGGCACTGTGCGTTCCAGAGTGGGACGAGGTTGAGTTGAAAAAGTAGACTTTGCGGAGGAGTCGCCCTCGAAGGCTAGTAGCTCCGGGCGCCCTGCTTCAGATGAGCTTCACCCCCTGAAACCGCGGCGGCCAAGCAGCGCTACGGTCAATGCGCGCAGCCCAAGTCGGGAGATCTCACGCCGGGTGTTCTCTCGGTCGCATTCCAGCAGGACGCCTGCGTCGACAAGCCGCCATGCAAATGCGACGTTCCTGACAGAATGCTCATTCGGTGTAGCGCACGATCGGCTTGTGCAGGTCATCACAGATGTGCAGCCTTTCGAGCCGTACTGGGAAGATCTAGCGTCCATTGACCTGTCGAAGCGCAATATCGACAGTGTGGCGCGACTGAAGGAGTTCTTGCCCCGGCTGGACTCGCTGACACTGTGAGTGCCTCACTATACCTGCATTTGACTGTGCAGACGCGGACATAGCCTCCTCGTCAATGATGACCGCCGGCAGCGCTGACATTTATTTGATCCTCCAGCAATGATAATCACTTGTCGTGGCTGAGCGGAGTTCCTGGCACAGTGCGATCGCTCTCAGTTGCGGCGAACGTGTATGTGTTTATTTCCCCCACAGGTCGCATCGCAGGCTGATTCCATTGTGGCGTAACATGTGCCGGCGAAAAAAAAAACTCTCTACAGGTTGACCGGGCTTACGTCCTTCAGTCATCTGCTCAACCTGGAGAACTTGGACATTAGCCGAAACGAGATCGAATCACTCCGCCGTACGTCTTCTTTTGCAATTTTCCCCCACAACGCGGGTGCTGATTCGAGGACGCCTCGACAGAGCTCGAATGCCTCCGGCATTTACGTGAGCTGCGCGCTGATGGGAACAAGATCGACAGCACCGATGGGTTGCAAAAGATGGACGGGCTTGTGAAGCTGAGTCTGCAAGGGAACAAAATACGCAGCCTCGATTTGCGACAGTACCGTTGGTTCGTTATTTTCATATTCTCCCCCGGGGAGCGTCGACGCAGCTGTAGGCCTCACGGTCTGCTTCGCGGACGCGCATCTGCCAATGGTCGCTTACATATGACATGTGTCACTTTGACAGGACCCGGTTAGAAATGTTGAACCTCAGCAGGAATAGGCTAGGGACGGTGGCGGGGCTTGCCACGCTCCCAGCACTGATTGCGCTCAACCTGGGTGAGTGAGTGCCTGCAGGTCGTACGTCACGCTTCTCAGCATCAGGGAGGAAGCGTGCGGTGATGTTCTCGCACACATCGCTTGATCTCGTGCGGCCCTCGGTGTCGCGCTGCGTTCTCAGAGTGCACTGCGGGCAGGCTGATGGCTGACGGATGCTCTCGCAGACCACAATGTGCTGGGCGAACTGGACCCTCAGGGGCCGATGCCCAGACTCCGGATACTCCGCGCCAGCTCGAACCGGCTGGAGGAGCTGGACGCCTCGCCCTACCCAAATCTTCGCACGCTTTACGCCGACAATAATTCCCTCGGGGCGGTCCACAAGGCGTATCGCCTGACCAAGCTGGAGAACCTAAGCCTGCGGAACCAGAACGGACGAGCTGGCCTGTGAGTGGTTCAATTACACCCATTTGTGGAGAGCGCGGCCCAGCGCAGTCCGGCTGCTGAAACACGCGCGCGCATCTCTCCATAGTTCGTTGTGCACGCCGCACGATTGGGTGTGTGGGTGATTGAGCGAGAAGACGTGCTGATGATTACCGTGCAGGTCGCTATCTATCCGCGATGTTCGCGATGTGAAACGCTTGTATCTATCTGGTATGTGCCTCACTTCCATGCCTGGTTCGCCGCCCCCCCGGCCATCTCTGTGCCTGCGTGCCTCCGTCTGCACACCCCCTGCGGCGGAGCAGAAACCTCGGAAGAATCGCAGACGCAATACGGTGGCTCAGCTATCTGCACGCGCACAGGGGAGGCACGGGGATGTGCTTGTCTGCTGCACCGCACGCCGAACGCCGAGCTGACCGCCCCCTCTGGTCCTTGTCTTTTTTCGTCTCTGCAGGGAACCCACTGCAGGCCGGGTTCATCTCGGAGCCGTGCTACAACCTCGTCTACCTGGAGCTCGCGGCGTGCCGGCTGAACGCGCTGCCCGCAGACCTCGCGCGGCTGGTCCCGAACGTGCGCGTGCTGAACCTGAACTACAACTTTCTCGCGGACGCGCGCGCGCTGGAGGGCCTCGCGCGCCTGCGCAAGCTGACGCTCATCGGCTCGCGCATCACCGCGACCAAGGGGCTCGTGCGCATGCTGCGCGGCATGCGCGACGTCGAGATGCTCGACTTCCGGTGCGTGCCTCTCCCTCTCCCTCTCCCTCTTCCCCTTTTCCTTCCCCTCCCGTTTCCGCTCCCCTCCTGCGCTTGTTCTCGCCCGCGGCCTCTGTGTGGTTTGCTTGCGTCTGGGCACGCCCGGAGCTTCCCTGCACGGCGCCCCACAAGGCCCGGCGCAGCGCAGTGCCGTGCGCGCGGATGCAGAGCGCAGAGGCTGCATGGAGGGAGGCCACCAGGTGCGCGCGCACTATGCATGGACGCACGGCGCCACGCCGCGCCGGGGCTGATTTGCCTCCGTGGCGCTCTCGGCACCGGCGCCTAAAGTGCGGGCGCGTGTCCGAAGCTCCGTCTCCGTCTCCGCCTCCGCCTCCGCTCCTGTTCCCCGCCCTCGTCCCGCCGCCGCTCGTCTCTGGGCCCGTGGCTGTGCGCTGGGCTTGAGGGCAGCGCCGACGTGGCTGTGGCTGCTCGCCGTCCCCTTGGACGCTGCTGGGCGCGGGATCTACAGGCCGCAGTGTGCGATGGTGACAGGCGCGTGCCAAGCAGGGCTGGGCCAGGCCGACCGAGGTGGCATTCCGTGGTCGTGCGCATTTGGTGCTGATGCTGAGGCTGCCTGCCTGGTGCGGCGGCGCTCTTGGCCAGTGTGTCGGATGTATCAGAGCACCGTTGGGTCGCAGTATCAGCGAATCAGGCGTCTGTCCGGCGGTGGTGCGGCGGCGGCGACGACGACTGCAGGAGCAGCGGGCCTGCCTCTGCAATGGGCCGTGTGCCTGGGTGTGCAGACTCGCATGGCGGGGCGGGCGGGACGAGCATCCCGCGCGCCGGTGCGCGGTACGGCCGCACTGCGTTCGCAGCCCTTTGTTCTCTCGCGTGATTGAATGTGCCCATCGGATCGCTGACGTGCGTTTATGTGCCTTGCCGCCCCCCCCCTCCCCCTTCCCCCTGCTTTTCTCCGCGACCCACCCCGGACGCCTCGGACACGGCATCGGACTCGGACGTGGACTCGGACTCGAACTCGGACTCGGATTCGGACTGGACGCATGCACCGCACGCTCGGACGGACGCAGGATGAATCCGTGCACGCTCGGATGGTATCTGCCGCTGCTCGTCCGGGACGTGCCCGGGGCGCTGCAGCCGGCGGACGGGGAGCGGGCGGGCGGCGCCGGGGAGGACGAGGGGGGGACACGTGGGGAGCCGCCGGCCGGGGACGGGGACGGGGGGCGGCGGG